GACTCTCACTCTGTCACCCAGGCTGGAGTGCAGTGGTGCAATCTCAGCTCACTGCAACCTCTGCCTCCTAGATACAGGTGACTCTCCTGCCTCAGCCTCAGGGATTACAGGTACGTGCCACCATGCACAGCTAGTTTTTGTATTTTTAGTAAAGATAGGGTTTCACCATTTTGGCCAGGCTGGTCTCAAACTCCTGAAGTTCCTCCCAAAGTGCTTGGATTACAGGTGTGAGCCACCATGCCTGACCCCAAATAATCTTTAAAACTTGAATTTAACATAATGGTAAAACAGATATCTGTATTTCATCTTAGATAAAAATCAATATAATCAAATAAAGGTTGGAAATAAAAGAATGAATTTACATCGATATTTTCTGAAGACCAACCTAAGTGAATGTTATATGAAAAAACAGTTCCATGGTAAAAACTTTAATACAGTACACTGCAAAATCTTCAGATACACTTGGTTTCCCCAATTAACATAACCAAGAATTCTTTTTCTTTCTTTCTTTTTTTTTGAGACAGAGTCTCACTCTGTTGCACAGGCTGAAGCGGAGCGCAGTGGCAAAATGTTGGTTCACTGCAACTTCCGCCTCCCAGGTTCAAGCAATTCTCATGCCTCAGCCTCCCAAGTGGCTGGGATTACAGGTATGTGCCATTACACCCGACTAATTTTTGTATTTTTAATAGAGACAGGGTTTTGCCATGTTGTCCAAGCTGGTCTTGAACTCCTGAACTCAGGTGAAGTGCTGGGATTACAGGCATGAGCCACCGCGCCCGGCCTTTTCTTTAGAGTCGGGGTCTTGTTCTGTTGTCCAGGCTGAAGTGCTGTGGTACAATCACAGCTCACTGAAGCCTCAACCTTCTGGGCTAAAGCTATCCTCCAGCCTCAGACTCCTGAGTAGCTCTGACTACAGGTGTGCACCACCATGCCTGGCTAATTCTTTTGTTTTTTTTGTAGAGATGAGGTCTTGCTATGTTGCCCAGGCTGGTATTGAATTCCTGGGCTCAAATGACCCTCCCAACACTGTGCCAGGACAATAATTATTTTTCTTAGGATCATCTACTTAGACTTGTTTGGCAGACTAAATTTGGCAACATTGGCTTACAAATTCAGCTGTTATATTACTTTGCTGATAGACATTTCTACTGTAGCATTTATGTATTTACAAAACAAGCTGAGTACCCTAAATGTTGTAAATGAAAAAGTACATGAAACTGAAATAAAAATGACCTAAATTGAACCAAAATATACAAAGCAGACTTTATCTTTAAAAGTATTAAACAATTTTCTTATTAAAATTTATACCTGACTACGGTGTTCAATAGAATTTGATTCTTTGCCAGTTTTAAGTTCCAATGGCATTATCTTGTATTTTGTTTTACACCCTCGATGTATTTTCACACCAACTGTAACATCTATTTTGCCCTTCAATCCAAACCTAGGGGACCAAATGCTTTCTTCAATATCCACTGATCTCACGACTTCAATGTTACACGTTGAATTATCCTTGTTATTATCACTTGGCCTAAAAAAAAAAAGCACAAAAACACTTAATTAGAGGCTGGGCGTGGTGGTTCACGCCTGTAATCCAAGCACTTTGGAGGCCAAGACGGGCGGATCACCTGAGTTTGGGAGTTCAAGGCCAGCCTAATCAACATGGTGAAACCCTGTCTTTAAAAAAAAAAACAAACAAAAAAAAAACACTTAATTAGAACACTTACCTCTTTTCCATCTGGTTAGGAGTTCAAGACCATCCTGACCAACATAAAAAAAACCCCATCTCTACAAAAAATACAAAATTAGCCGGGTGTGGTGGAGCATGCTTATAATTGCAGCTACTTGGAAGGCTGAGGCAGGAGAATTGCTTGAACCCAAGAGGTAGAGTTTGCAGTAAGCCGAGATCAAGCCATTGCACTGCAGCCTGGAATAGGGCAAGACTCTGTCTCAAAGGAAAAAAAAGAAAGAAAAAGAAAATACATATCTACATATAAAAAATAGGCTATCTTATAATAATGAAAATAAAATTTTCTATTCACTGGTTTCCTTTTTTTCAAGGAAAGATACTTAGGACCATAAATATCTTTCAAAAAAAGGAAATCATATAAAAAGCCTCCAATGGCTTCCTATCTAATCAGGGCAGTAGCCAAGTCTTGACCAGGATGAGGCCCCAGAAAAACTACTGCTGCTTTTCTCCTACTGCACTTTGCTCCAGCCATCACACTGGCTCCCTGAGATGCTGTACACACAGCTAGTATCACTTAAGGTCAGGAGTTCGAGACCAGCCTGGCTAATAAGGCAAAACTCCATCTCTAATAAAAATACAAAAATTAGCCGGGTATGGTGGTGCATGCCTATAATCCCAGCTGCTTGGGAGGCTGAGGCAGAATTGCTTGAACCCGGAAGGCAAAGGTTGCAGTAAGCAGAGATCATACCACTGTACTCCAGCCTGGGTGATAGAATAAGACTCCATCTCAAAAAAAAAAAAGGAATCAAAGGAAAAAAATTAGGACCCCCAAAATATTTATAATTGATTGCTTTATAAGAAAACACAGGCCGGGAATGGTCACTCACGCCCATAATCCCAGCACTTTGGGAGACCGAAGTGGAGGGATCACCTGAGGTCAGGAGTTCGAGACCAGGCTGGCCAACATGGCAAAACCTTGTCCTACTAAAAATACAAAAAATTAGCCAGGCATGGTGGTGGGTCCCTGTAATCTCAGCTACTTGGGAGGCTGAGGCAGAAGAACTGCTTGAACCCAGAAGGTAGAGGTGGAGTAAGCTGAAATCATGCTATTGCACTTCAGCCAGGGCAACAGAGCAAAACTCTGTCTTAAAAAAAGCATAAAAGAATGAAAAAGACCATACATATCTTCACATAAAAAACAGGCTATCGGCCGGGCGCGGTGGCTCAAGCCTGTAATCCCGGCACTTTGGGAGGCCGA